ACCTTTACTAGGGTAACTGTGCATTGGGGAAAAGGAAACAATCAGACCCTTTGGGGTCTACTGGACAATGGCTATGAAGTGACATTGATTCCAGGAGACCCAAATGTCACTGTGGCCCATTAGTCAGAAGAGGGACTTATAGAGGTTAGGTGATTGGTGGAGTTGGATCTCAGGTCTATCTCACAGTGGGCCCAGTTGGTCCCCAACTCCATCCTGTGGTTATTTCTTCAGTTCTGGAATGCATACTTAGAATAGATATACTTAGCAGATAGCAGAATCCTTGCATTGTTTCCCTCACCTATGAAATGAGGGCTAATATGGTGGAAAAGGCCAAGTGGGAGCCCCTGAAACCACTTCTGCCCAGAAAAATCGTAAGCCCATTCCTGGAGGGACTGCAGAGATTACTGCTACCCCACACCTATTCAACTCCCCTATTTGGCCTGTGCAGAAGACAGATGGATCCTGGGAAATGACAGTGGACAATCATGAGCTTCAACCAGGTGATGACTTCAGTTGCAGCTGTTGTACCAGATGTGGTTTCCTTGCTTGAATGAAATAACACATCCCCTGGTACCTAGCGTACAGCTGCTGATCTGGCAAATGCTTTTTTTCTTAATACCTGTTAGTAAAAACCACCAGAAGCAGCTCACTGTCAGATGGCAAGGCCACCAATATACCTTCACTGTCCTACCTTGGGGTATATCAGCTCTTCAGCCCTATGTCATAACGTGGCTCACAAAGATCTTAATCATTTTTCCCTCCCACAAGGTATCACACTGGTCCCTTATATTGATGACGTATGTCGATTGGACCTAGTAAGCAAGCAGTAGCAACTACTCTAGACTTACTAGTAAGGCATTTGCATGTCACAAGGTGGGAAATAAAATCTAAAAAGACCTTAGGGGCTTCCACCTCAGTGAAATTTCTAGGGGTCCAGGAATATGGATTCAACATATATTTTCATTTGGGTGTTTTACTCCATGCTATTTGCTGAGTGACCTAAAAAGCTGCTAATTTTGAATGAGGCTCTGGACGAGAGAAGGCTCTGTGACAGGCCCAGGCTTATGTGCAAGCTGCATTGCCACTTGGCCAGATGATCCAACAGATCCAATGGGGCTTGGAGTGTATGTTGCAGACGGGGATGCTGTTTGGAGCCTTCGATAGGCCCTTACAGGTGCATCATAGTGCATGCAAGCTCTTAGAATTTTGGAAAAAAGTCCCACTGTCCTCTGCAGATAATTTGTTTTGAGAACCAGATCTTGGATTGCTACTGGGCCTGAATAGAGACTAAATGGGTCACCCAGTTACCATGAGACCTGAGCTATCCTTCATAAACTGAGCGTCATCTGACTTACCAAACCAAGTTGGTTGTGCATAGCAGCATTGCACCATCAAATGGAAAGGGCCCAGCAGACCCTGAAGGCACAAGTGGTTTACATGAAGAAGCGGCCCATATGCTTGTGGTTCCCACTCCTGCTACAATGGAAGGATACAGCAAGGAGGCAGCTGTCTGCAAACTAGGAAGAGGGCTCTCACTAGACACTGAATCTACTTGCACCTTGATCTTGGACTTCCCAGCCAGCTTCCAGAACTGTGTGAAAGAAATGTTTGTTGTTTATGCTACCCAGTCAACGGTATTTGTTATAGTGGCCCAAACTGATTAAGGCAGAAATAGTAGTTTGCCAATCCCTGACCTAGAGTCCAGACTGGCACTGTCCAATAGAACTTTCTGTAATGATGGAAATGTTCTATATCTGCACTGCACAATGTAGTTGCCACTAGCTACATGTGGCTATTGAGCACTTGAAGTGCGACTAATGCAACTAAGGAACTGAAATTTTCATCTCGCCTTCTTTTCCATTCCTGTAGCCCTTATCATTTATTTCTCTTAGGATTCATATAGTTTCTAAATTAGTTGCCCTGTCTCCATTTTCATTCTCCTCCAATCTATCCTTCACAAAGCTAGAGGGGTTTTTCTAAAACCAAATAGGATCCTAACACTTCTCCAAGGTTATGGTTCCTGGAAACTTTAGAAAGAAGTTCAACTCGCTAGCATGCCATATACATCCTTTCCTTAGGAAATCACACCCCAAAAACCAAGAGCACGCTTCACACACTGTCCGTTAGCCAATTTGACAATAAATTATATTTAAACAATAATAAAATAAAAAGTAAATTTAAAAAAAGGAAATCACAAAGGAGGAAAATACCTTCCTCTGATCAGGTAAGTGATGATAAATTTCTTTCTTTTTTAATTCTTTTTAATGTTTATTTATTATTGACAGAGGGAGACAGAGCATGAGCATGGGAAGGGCGGAGAGACGGGGAGACACAGAATCCGAAGCAGGCTCCAGGCTCCGAGCTGTCAGCACAGAGCCTGATGCGAACCCATGAACCGAGAGATCATGACCTGAGTCGAAGTCGGATGCTTAACCGACTGAGCCACCCAGGCACCGCTATGATGATAAATGTCTTAAGAGTAGTCCCTCATCATACTTTGTTTCTTCTAACATTTCACACAGTGGCTTTCTGAATGCTGCCATGAAAAAGAAACCTTGGCTTTGGAGATGGAAGTTAGAATCCTGCTTCTGGTACATTCAAGCAGAGATACTATGGATTCTTAATCACCTTGAGCCTTACTCTACCTCTGTGCTAAATGGGAATGATGTTAATTATATCCAGGGTTTTGGTGAAGATTAAATGAGTCTGCGCTTAGTAAAAAGGCTGTATACATGGTTGCTGTTGTTCTAATAACTATCAACTTTAGAAATGTTTCTCAATGGGGTGCCTAGGTGGCTCAGTCGGTTGAGCATCCGACTTCAGCTCAGGTCATGATCTCTCGGTTCATGGGTTCGAGCCCCGCATCAGGCTCTGTGCTGA